CTCTGGGCTGCTTTCCCTTCTTGAGTGGGCACAGAGCCCCAGCATGCTGGTTCAATAAATCCCCTTCTGCCAATTGCATGAGTGGTCACTTGGTGGTCTCTTTCTCCGACGTTTCGCGGGACCCTTACATTAGCAGGCCACAGGGACGCCCTCGGCCTTTTTTTTTTTAATTTTCTGTAAGTGAAAATTATTTCAAAATAATTTTTAAAGCAAGAAGAATCAGGTCAGCAGAAGAGCAGGGGTCTGGGGTGACGCGCTCAAGTGCCCAGAGCCAGGGTGAGGTTTGGGTGGGGGTGGGGTGACCCACGAGCTCAGCTGCTGACTGGGCAAAGTGCCCTGGGGGACTTGGGGGTGGGCGGTTCCTGTACTGGCCGCTGAGGGTTCAGCAGAGCCCAGTGACCATCTGGGAGATCCGCAGGACCCTGGCAGCGTCCCTGGCACATGCTCACTGGAGAGGCCACCAAGGAACCATGTAAAGCCCAAGATCTGATTCCTCTCCCGCTTCCTGCCAGCAGGGCCCTTCTGGATACACTTCAGTGTGACCTAAATACACCTAAATACCCTGTGGGGACCTGGTGGCTTACCCCCTACACACATGCAATCTCATTACCTCTGGGAGACCCACATAGGCGGGCAGAGAATGGGGGCTTCCCTGGTTTAGAACAAAAGTCCACATCCACCTGCTCGATTCACAACAAATTACAAATGCACCTCCCTGCGGCAGTGACTGCCCACAAGCCTGAGACCGGCCACATTCAAACCTGACCACAGGTATGGAGGACAGATCCCTGCAAGTCAGAGAAGACAGGACCCTCGCGCCCAGCATGCGCCTACCCACTATACTGCGCCCTCCACTCACTTCCTGCAGCATCTAGGGTCCCCGGCTCCCAAGGGACAGTCTCTCCTCAGGAAAAGTCATCCTCTGGTGGATCTGACAGTTCCTTTATTTTGGAAAGCGGGAGGGCGCCTGTTCCCCACCTGTTTTGAATTATGGCTTCGGTGGAGCCGCCAAGCCTGCCAGGTACAGAGGGGCTCAGCGAGAGGTGTATAAATAATCTTTAAAATTCCGCTGGTGGTGATTTAAAAAATAAAAGGGCCCCCCTCCCCCCTTTTTTTCCTTTTTTCTCTTTCTGCGGGGATTACTAAGGAATCCGACCTTGATTTAATTTGCAAGGAAAGTAGAATCCATTAAAACCTCCTGTGCTGCTAGGGACTCTGCTCTGCACCACCCGCAGCCTCAGGGTATTAAGTAATTGATTTAATTTCTCCCCCTTGGGCCCCACCCTGGAGGTGAAAAGGGTCCTGTAAATTTTTAATTTTTTTTTTTTTAGTGGTAGATGAACACAATGCCATGATTTTATGTATTCATTTTTATGTGATGCTGAGAATCGAACCCAGTACCTCATGTGCCAGGCAAGCACTCCACCACGGAGCCCCAGCCTGGCCCTGCCCTGCAGAGCTCTCAGGGCGCTCCCGGCAGCAGCCCCCCAGGGACCCATAGGCACCGTGATTGGTGGGTGAGTGACTCAGTGGGAGCCAATGAGAAGCCGGGGTGTACATGGACTGTGCAGGCTGGCTCCTCCCCCTTGAAGCAGGACAGCTGGTGCTGCCCTCTTGGGACAGCCATGACCGCCAGGGATGCTGGTGGGCCTCCCCATGGCCACCAGGAGGAGGCAAGAAGGGACTCAGCATGGAGCAGATAGCCAGGAATTAGAGAAAGAGCCAGAAACCACATCCTGAGGCCATTGAAATGTTATGGTTTAGCCACAAGGTGACCCTCCAAAGCTCCTGTGTGAGACAATGCAAGAAGTGCAGAGGTGAGATGCTTGGGTCATGAGAGCCTCAACCTAATCAGTGGATTAATCCACTGTGGTGCCTACAGGCAGGAGGTGTGGCTAGAGGAGGTGGGTCCCTGGGCAAATGGCGGATATTTTGTCCTGGTTGAGCGGAGCTCCCTCTCTGCTTCCTGGTGCCGTGTCCCCAGCTGCTCTCCTCCACACCCTTCCACCATGATGTTCTGCCTCACCTCCAGCCCGGAGCAGCGGAGTGGCCTCTCAGGGCTGAGACCTTTGAAACGCGAGGGAAAACACACTTTTCCTCCTCTACAGTCACTCCCATCAGACCTTTTGTGATCTGGGCCAAATACCAAAGCCACCTTCTCTGGACGTGGAAATGGCCCTGTGGCAACAGTTGGAAGCCCTGGGCTCCAGCAGGGAAGGGCCATAGCCCGCAGCAGGTGACAGCAGGAGACCCGGGAGTGCATCAGGCCAGCTCGGTCCATTTTAAGGGAGTGGGCAGCTGTTTCCACCAGAGCCCGGGGGGACCCGGTGTTTCAATTTTCCAACCGCACAGGAAGGAAATGGAGACTCTCCGTTCTGGGTCATTTCTTTCCGATCCGAGTCGGCCCCTGGCTGGACTCTGCGGTGGTCCTCTTGGGCTGGATGGGAAGCCGAGTCCCTCCAGCCCTGCTGCACTGGGAGCCAACATTCTTTCCATTTTTCTTCAGACTGGAAATTGCTGCTGCGAAATTATCCTTCCTTCTGGGATGCACGGTCCCTCCCCTAGCGGTCACCCCCTTCAGACCCTCCAGCGGTGGGGGGAGAGGCCTCGGCTCCGGGGCTAGAGTTCCTGCATCATGATTTACGGATTGAGTGGGTATCAGTTTCTCTCGACATGCCAGGGTGCCAGCGACCACAGCCACATCCCAACCGCCATGGGCAGGAATCCAATGTCCCTGGGGTAAACAAGCTGTACTTTAGGAGAGAAGCAGGAGGGGAGGTGGCTGCGTTGTGGCCAGTTAGTTCTGCTTCACATCCACACACTCCAAGTGCTAAGACCTGAATCCCCCAGGCATGTCCAGCACGTCCCCCCACGGACACCCCCATGGAGCCAGTCACCTGCCCACACAGTGCTGGACAGGGAGATGCACGTGATGTGACATGGCCCCTGCTCGTCAGAAGACCTGTGTGCAGTGGGAAAGACCTGCTTACTTTTACGACAACTGTTTCCTTATTAAAATATACAAAAGAACAAGGGAGTCCTGGTGGGGGGGCGTGGGGAGACTGGAGCAGGGAGGGGTAGGACCTGGTCCCCAGCCACTGCGTCTCCGGGGGCAAACTCAGGTTTCCTGTATTTCTCTACTCCTCCCTCCCCTCACCCAGCATCCGGCAGCCACCCAGCCGGCTCCAGTCCCTGCCAGCTCTTGGAAAATTCCAGTGAAGCTCCCCTGTGTCCACCCAAGCATTGGAAGGCCAAGGTCCCTGGTCTGGAAAGAGAGAGCACTGTTTAAGATTCCTACGGCCTAGTCCTCAAGTATTCGATGCCTCCCACAGCTACGAGGCCAAGGGCCCCTGGCTCCAACAGTGACAGAACTATGACGGTATGTGTCCTTGGAGCCTGCATCTTCACCTGGTCTCTCTTGTTCTGCCAAGCCAGAAGTGAGTGGGGAGGTAGAGTCGGTGCTTTCCCACGTGCTGCCAACCTGAGCCGGGTACCTGCTTATCACCAGCTCGGTCACAGTAGGAGAGCCGTGACTGGGTAACCCCTGAGCCCAAACCAGGGCGACTTCAAGTGAGGGCCATTTTATCATGGCTGACAGTCCTGCTGCTGGGAATTCAGGCAGGGCTCTGCTGGTGGCTCTTCTGTTGGACATGGCGTGGACAGGAACCACTTCCTGGTTCTGGGTTGGCTGACGGGCAGGTGTGGCTGGTCCAGCTGGCCGCATTCATGGGGGCTGGGCCCAGTAAGGATGGTCAGCAGGGCTCACGGGGAGGGTTCCAGGTAATCTGTTTTCTTATAAAATGGCTCACAGAGGTCCCAGGGAACAAGGGGTGCTTCTCAGCATTTCATGACCTTTGGAGGTCACAGGGGGTCTACTGGTCAGAGCAGTCACCAGGATACCCAGAAGGCCCCAGACCCCATCTCTCCGTAGGAGGAGCACTGAAGAACCCGTGGATATATTTTAAAACCACCCACAGCGTGAACGGTCTTTAGCCCCTGGAAGCCCCACACACTAAGAGCGGGGCTCCCTGGGAGATCAGGGAGCATTTTCCTGCAGCATCACAGCCTGGTTGGAAGTATCTTACACTTCTCCACATGGAAGAAGGACTCGGTGGAGCGAATCTCTGAGAAATCTCCTTGATGGGCGAGTCAGTTCGGGAGATGACTAGCAGGTGTTTCAGGCTCCCTCGGGTCCCAGTGGCTGGAGTTCAGTCCCATCTCTGCTGATCCTGTGGACAGCTTTGTGGGACGCTCCAAAAGAAGTTGCAAATGTTGGGAGGTGAGGAAAACAGGTCAGCACCACTGAACTCAAGATTCAGATCTTCAGAATCACAAATAATCGCAGGATCGCTCAACCTTCCTTCCTCCTTTCTTTTTTTTCTTTTTTTTTTTTTTGTTCATTCCACGTGCTAATTAAGTTCTCAGTGCTGATCCCTGGAAATGTGGGGTCCTGGGCTGAATGTGACCTAGCTCCTGCCCACGTGGAGCCCAGAGCCTAGAAAGGAAACAAACAGATTGCCAAATAATCTAGGGACCGGTGTATCACTACAAACCAGAGGTCAGTAAGACTTTCCGTAAAGGGCCAGGTAGTATTTTAGCCTGAGTGAGCCACACGGCATCCATTCTCCCCATCGCAGCAAAAAAGCAGCCTTAGACAATCCAGAAAGGAACATCACAAGTGGAGTTCAAATAAAACTGTATTTCCAAAAGCAGGTGGAGGGTCTGATGAGGCCAGGGCTGTAGCTGGCTTATCCCTTGGCTGGAGAGGCACCACAATTGGAAGAAATTTAAAAATCCACTTTGGATAGAGGGGAGACAGGTCAATGGAAATTGGCAAGAAATAAAATAGAGTATATTGTGACCCAATCATGCGGGGTCTCAGTGACCACGTTAAAATTTTAGGGGTTTTGTTTCTCAGAGCAATGGAGAGCAAGTGAAGGATTTTAAGAATTTTTTTTTTAAGAACTATGCATAATTTCCTGTGCTCTCAACCAGGACACAAACGGATCCTTCTGAAGGCACCAAGAAATTCATGTGTTAGAGAAGAGAACGTGAAGATCCCAATGCAGCCCTGAAGGGTCACATTCTGGTGGCCTTCACGAGCTTGGAGCAAGGCCCCCAGAAAGAGAGTCGCACATTCCAAGGGATCAAAAAGGAGAACTCTGGAAAAGTCCTTTTTCTAGGTATTAAAACGCTCTTCATACGGAAGACTTGTTATTATTCGCGGTTGGTGCTCTGGACAGATTCCTTGCATAATTAACTAATTGGTCTCAAGTTTCCCACCACAGATTCCGAAGTTTTTTTTAAAAAGTGTCTGACTCCAAAGGTTTCTGAGCTATTCTGTTTCATGGTGTTAATTTTTCCATTGTCTAGACAGCTGGAGAGTCAGACAGGATTATCAAGAGGAAAGAGCCGGTTTATGACCACGAGTCAACCTTCCTGGCCAAGGGAACGTCCATGATGGTGGTGACGGCTGTCATGAGAAAAACCTTTAAAAAGCAAGTCCTTTTGTTTATCGTGCATTTCTGGAATTGGGTGTCACGTAGATATGTTGCATTTTACATAATCCACGTGAAAGACCTTTTAATAAAACCACCAAAGAGAGAGATCATGTGGGGTGGGGGCAGGGGAGCTCAATTTTAAAGGATTCCAGAGTTCTGGAATGCTGTAGGCAATTAGATAAATTCTGCTGTCCTTGTAGTTGGGATGAAAGGGGCACAGGGCTACCCATCAAGCTATGGCAGAATCAAAGGCAGGAAGATGTGCCCCGGGGGAGCTGGGTCCTGACACCATGGCTGCCCCACTCCCGGGCCACCTGCGCCAACAAGGAGCTCGCTGGTTCCCAACAGGAGCAACTTCCTGTCTGGACTCTGGATCTTCTTCCTTGAAATTCCTTTTTGGCCCCAGGCGTGGGCCTGGGGTAGGCTGTCGCACTGTGACCCCCTCTGGTGAAGGCAGACTTTCCTAGTGTCATTGGTCACCTGCCCCTGCACAGTCCTCACAGCCTGGTGCCCCCCTGGGGCTTGGTCTTGGCCATCTGGACAGAAGCTAAGGACCTCACTGGTTTGCGCAGCGCGATGGATGCGGTCCCAGCCTGCAGAGCTGGACTGGTGGGAGGTACTGAGAGGTGCCACGGCACCGAGCAAGTCCCCAGGAGCGTGGCCTCCGGCCCTTTGAATGCTTGTGCATTTGTGATGAGAGAAACATGGGGGTTTCTCAGGAAACAGGTCAGCGTGGCTCTTCCTGTTCCAGGAGCCTCGCAGGACCCTCCTGCCCTCGCTCCCCGGCACAGAGCGGGGGATCCTCCACGCACGGCCTCCAGAGGCTGCTCCGCCCCAGCCCCGCGTCCTTGGTTGAAGCAAGAGAAGAAAAATGGACAGAGAGGAAGGGGAGGGCCTAGAACAGGAAAGAAAATGATTCCAGATGTGGCCAGTGGATTCTCAACTACAGCGTGTAGTGGGGAGCTGTGTCCCAAGGCAGCCGGGAAGGCGGTTTCACCAGCCAGAGATTGGAGACTGGCCTTGGCCAGGCGATGGGGAGTTTGAGGTCTGGGAAACCTCAAGGGTGATCTCCCCTGAAAGGCAGAGGTCCAAAACGGACGTCCCCCCCCTCCCCCCAGGCCAGGTCTACACAGCCAGAAGGTAGAAACCAGGTGGCTCCTAACTCCGGACTTGGTTTAATTCGTTTTGGAATCCGGGCTCTCCCATCAGCTCCCTGGGGACCTTGTCAATTTCTCTATCCGTTTTTCTGTTTATAAAATGAGAATAATAAAAACACTTCACAAGCATCTTATTTGCAAGTATTTATGACAAAGATCCTTGAATTGAAATGCTCTTGATCCCTGACGGGCATGTGGTGGGTTCTCAGCACACGGGAGTGACACAGGGACTCCTCAGAGGGCTCAGCCTTCCCCACCGTCACTTGCTGAACACAGCTTGCAGGACACCAGTGCCTGCCCCTTCCTAGTCTCTCCATTCCCTGTTGGGAGTGATGGATCGGCATATTTTCAGGAATTTTACAACAGGTTACTCATCAAAACTGAATATGAACTTAAAATGAAATGAGTTATATTTAAAATAAAGATCATGAACACTCAAACCTCACCTCTTTGTGATTATTCTGCAGGACTTTGCTGTTGCCCGTGCCCCCGCAAGGGTGTTTATGCTGCATTCTGCTCCTGGGGGAGGCCACCCGGTATCAGATGGAGGCTGGAAGCTGGCGGGGAGGAGGCTGGGCTGTCTTTATTGTTCTGTTGATTGTCTAGACTTCATAGGTTGAAAAAAATAAGGCGAGACTTAGGCACATGGCACAGCTCTTCCACGTGCGTATTGTGGCTCTTACATCATCAACAGCACCCGAAAAAAACAGAGCTACTGTTCTTGGAATGTTCCAGAACCGTCATCCAACCGGGCCAAGTCAGACCCATCACTGGTGAACAAACGAAGCTCCAACACGCGCCCGGTCATTTCGCTTTTGTCTTTCTTGTGGACGTCAATGAAGACACCCACGGACGTTTGCGTGTGAGTGACGTTGTTGGTCATGGACAGTGGCAGGAGTCACCACCTGAGGGTCCCAGCCCTGCAGACTGAAGACCCAGCCCGAGCCTCGTGCCTTTGGATCAGTCATGTTCACCTCACGCACACACGCTCCTTCTCGCCCTCTCTGGACAGTGGCTGCCTGAACGTCCCCAGCACACCCCGGATGCTCAGCCTGGCCCTGAGGCACAGTGACCCTGTGTCCTTTGGCCCCTTGAGAGGAAGCTAATGATGTCACTCAGGGGACTGAGCAGAAGTCCAGGAAGCAGGTGGCCAACAGGGAGGAACCTGATGTCTCCCTCCTGCCTCTGGGCATGTGTTTGAGGGGAGAGGAAGGTATAAAGGGACTCGAGGTGACAGAATGTCCTACAGGAAACTAACCAGAGCACCCAGGTGAGATGCAGGCGGCCAGCAAGCACTCCTGGCCCCAGAGCAGCCACTTTGCTTCCAGCCCAGTTCACCGTCTCCTCTCACCTGAGTCCAGGGTGGACCCTCTGACCCGCTCGGCTCTCCCTGGCTCCTGTCCCCAAACTAAGCTCAAAGGAGACAGGCTTTTGCAAAGGCCATGCTGCACCTGAAACCTGGGAGTCCCAAAGGCAGGGCAGGTGGGGCAGTCATGGCCGAGCCCTGGGGCAGGCACCCCTGTCAGGACAGGATGCTGGAGTCCTTGTCCAGGCCGGTGCCCTGCGTGGTGCAGGGACTTTGGGCTGAGCTGGGCTAGCGCATGAACATGGCCCGGGCAGAGCCCACTCTGGGGGTTTCACCTATGAGCTTCACAAAGTTTGAAAGTTCTATTGCCAGAGTCTCAGTGGGCTTCCGGATGTAGGGCTTAAAAATAAAGGGTGCCGCATCCCTCCCCTCCCCTCCCCTCATTCTCCACCCAGGGTGCAGATTAACTTAAGGGTCGATGCCCTCCATGCACCGTAGCTTCAGCGACCTTGGCAAAGACCTGGATTCTCTCCAAGACCTGTGTGCCGGCTCACTGTGAGTCAAATCAAGATCCTCGAAGATTTGCAGAACAAGCCCAAAAGCCATCTGAAAACTTGACCTGCAGGAATAGCTCACTGACAGAAGGGACAAGGGAGTGGGGTGTTGGTTTTCTATGGATTAGAGCCATTTTGATAAACTGCATTTTCTTATTCACTTAGTTTGGAGTCACAGTCCTGTTTCCTTGTCCAGGCTGGTTCTGGATTCCTGGGCTCCAACGGTCCTCCTGCCTCGGCCTCCTGAGTTCTTGCACCAACAGATGTGTGCCACTGCACCCGGCTGTTAGACTGCCTTTAAAGAATGCAGCTTGAAAGGAATCAGAGAATGCATGTGACAGAGCATCACCTGGGGTAGAGAGGAACCCACCGGATGAACAGCTGGGACCATTTGGGCAGAATCTGGGGAAAGAATCGAATTTCAGATTTCCACCCAAACCAGTGGTGAACTCCAAGTTAGGGACTGTCTGTACCCCTGTGCCCGGGGTGACAGCCTGCACTGACAACCTGGTACAGAGTCTTCCTGGTGGAGTGAGAGACTCCCCACACACGTTTCCGGAACTCTCCTTGATTTTTATAACGATTTCATTAGTGCTGCCTGATTCAAGGTCAATTATATAGCTCTCTAGGCAGTCTGAGCTTTTTTGTGAATTTCTTTCTTTGTCTTAACTCATACCAAGGCCACCCTGACCCCTGTGTCCTTGGGGTTTTGCTCTGTGCCCCTCGCTCCTGAGTGGGTCTATAGTCTGTTTGGCTGTGTGGCTCGAGGCCCTGGGGAGAGCAGGGTAGCCAGTACTTCCGCCCTCCAACATCGTCCAGCCACACCCCCTGCTGTCAGCCCAGCTCTGGAAGGGTCTCTCGGGCCCTTCTGTCTCCCGAGGTCCACCCCGGTGTTTCGGTGGTCTGTAAGTCAGATGACACTTTCCATGCAGAATGGCCCAAGCGCCCCCTGCTCAGTGGAGGCCGTCCAACCTCGGTGTCACTGGAGATTTAAGCAGAGCTAAAGCTGAGGGTGGGGTGGGGCAGGGCCAGCTCTGGCATTTCAGGAAAATGTCACATGTTTGGGAAACACTCTAAATTCCCATGAGGTTCCCAGCTCTGAATTAGAAGGCCAGGGGCACTGCCTTGGGTGGCATCCCTGGGAGACCCTTCGCGAGGGCCTGGGGTCCCCCACCCCAGGGCTCATCGGGATCTGGACTCGGCCCATGATGCCTTTAGGGGTGACCCGCTCTGAGCAGAAACCCACAGACATGGAGGCACTCCTGACAGCTCCCAATTCCTGGTCTCGAAAGCCTCGGGCAAGGAGCGGGCTGTGGCCTCGGCTCCCGGCAGCCCAGGGTAACACAGGACCCCCAAGAAAAGGGCACCGTGTGAGCCCCGGGAGGTCTCTGGAGACACCAATCTCATGTCACTCAGAGGTACTGATGGCGAAGACAATGTCATGTGGCCACGAGGGGCAGGCACAGACCATCATGTTCCTTCCTTCCGGAGGCCCTGCTGGGGACACCAAGCCACGGGGCCTCTGGAGGATCAGCTGCCCAGCTGACAACCAGCCATCCCATGAACATGTGGTGAAGAGTAAAAGGACAAAGGCACAAAGCAGGACAAGGCGGGGTCACTTCTTTGGGTCTCATGAGCAAGGACAAACTAGAGTCACTCCCTGCTTATGGTGACCCGGGAAGCTCGGGTGTGAAGAGAGGCCTTCTTCCTCTTGAGAGGCCACAGATGCTGGGTGTACTGGTGTCAGAAAGCCACGCCGACACCTGGAGTGGACAGCCACCCTGACACCTGCAGAGCCACCACCAGGGAGGCCAGACCAAAGCAGATGCCTGAAGGGCCGGAGGGCGAGTCCAGCTGTGGATGCTCCAGTTAAACTGGCAGGACGGAAGAACCAGCAGAGGACAAGAGGGACAAATGTGAGAACCGGCAAGGGACCGGGCCCAGCTCACAGGTGCAGTGCTCTGAGATGTCTTCCTTCCCTCTCCCTGTCAGCGCCTGACAGCCTGGGCCAGCCCAGGACAAGCAGTGCCCTGTAGCAGATGTCCTGGGGCACCTGTCCTATGACAAGCCGGCGCTAGCCTCTCCGTGCCCCAGATTTCTCACGGCCTCCGCAGTCAGCCAAGGTCACCAACACGAGGCCCTGCTGGAATTGCTCTGTTTTCAGTGTCCAGCTAAACAGCCGTCCCCACCTGGGACAGAATGGACCTCCAAGAGTACCTCTGGTCCTTGCAAAATAAGAAGTGTCCTTTGAATAACTCGAACACAGCGCCTCTCAGGCCCAGAGCAGCCTCAGGCTCATGTTTGGAGAGCTGGGATTTTCCACCGGGGGCACCGGGGTTTATTTGGAAGAGACGCCTCTGGGCCCGACTTCAAGCATCCTCATTTTACACACCCGACTCCAAGGTCAACTTGCTGGCCTCGTTAGCCACAAACAGACTGAGCCGCACCAGAGAAGGGACAGGAGGGCGGTGGGGAGAGGGACAGGGAGAGAATGGCCGTGTGTCCCGTAAGGAAATCCTGCCTGGCTGAACTCAAAACCAGCAGGACAGTGGGCATCTGGAGACTGACTTTAAACCCCGGGGGGAGGGGTGGGCAGGGGAGAAGAAAGAAAGCAAAGAAACCTCTGGATTTGGCCCACAGGACGCCAGGTTCTTTTTTGTCAAGTCACGGGCCAGAAGCCAAAGAAAGGAACACAAGGCCGACCTCCAGTTGGAGGCCAGAGGATGAATGGGGTTTCAGTTTTGAGGCACAGGAGGAAATAGGGCTGGGTTTCTCTGCTCCCCACACCCTGCTGTCTTTCTTGGGCACAGAAGGAGGCCAAGGCTGAGCAGGGAGGACTAGCGTGGGCTGTCACCGACGGCCATGCTGGTCCCTGGCTGAGGAGTCAGGTGGGGAGATTGGGAAGGCCCCTCCTCCCAGGCTGGGAAGTCGGCCATTTATCCCATCAGAAAAACCTGGGAACCAAATAGGCCAACCGTGGCCCTTTCCTTCCAGGTGAGAGGGTCGCTTTCACAGCAGGGAAAGGAGAGCAGGCAATGAGGGCACAGTAGGGTGGTCACCGTGGTGACTCTGTTGAGCCTCTGTCTGAGCACCCCCAAGAGATGCAAGAGTAGGACTCAGGCCAGAATGCGCCAGCCGGAGCTGGGGAGCTGGGCGCCACTCGACCCTGGCATTGGAATCCACGATCTTCAAAGGATGCTCCAGCCCAGAACGATCTGGAGTGCAGAGCAGAGGCACCCTCCCTGGAGGGGGAAGCACCCCAGACCAAGGGGCTTCACCCACAGCACCTGTGTCTCAAACTACATCTGAGTCCAAGTTTGAGCCTCTCCTGGGCTTGTGGAGGCTGCCTCCTCCGTCTTCACATGGTCCTCCTGGGAGTGTCCGTCAAAGTTCTCCTTCCAAGGCACAGCCACACTGGATCAGGGCCCAGCAAAGATCTCTCCAAAGACAGCCGCATCTGAGGGACTTGGGCTTCGACATACAAGAATATGAGGACAGCTCTCAACACTCCCTAAGGAAACTGAGGCCCAGAGAGGCTAAGTGACTCTCCCAAGACCACATGGCAAGTGAAAGAAGTGTGGAAATGGGCCATCAATCAGTGGCTGGCACCCAGCGTGGCCGTCAGCATGGAGCTACACTCACCATCTGGCCCAACGTTCCAGCCCCCACACCAAACTGGGGGAAGAGGTCGCAGGGTCAGAGAGAAACACACTCTCATTTTGCCCTTGACTCTGTTCTCTTGGCCTGTGGGCTGTGGTCAGTGTCACCTTGGCCTCCAGGGCCCTTCCTAGGCGGCCTGCTTGGCTGAGCACTGCCCAGCTGGCCCAGGCTCGGCCCCCTCCTGAAGCTCGCTCGGCTGCCTGCATTCTCCTCCACTGGCCTGTGGTCCTCCCTAGAGCAAGCATGGGCTCCCTGTCCCAGCTCCCTGCAGCACCTGAAGCCGTGTCCTCCCGCCGAATCCCCAGCTCATGTGCTTTCAGGGATGGTTTTGATGAGTGTGCTAATTGTTTCATTTATTTCTCACCTGGTCGCGGTCTCCTGGCGCCTCCAAGGTTAACTCCTGCCTCTGTCTTAAATCTTTTTGCTGCTTTCACTAGGTTCTCCTCTGTCAGCTCACCACGCTCCACCATTTAATCTCTCCCTGTGCGAGAGTCCCTCTCCTTGGGTTACAAATGGCCCGCGTGTCTGCAAGAGCATGAATAATGACACTCAGCCCTGCCACCATCCTCACGGGCACCGCCAACCTTCCTCAAGCCCCACCCCACCCCCTTCTGCTGAGGCAGCCTTATCAATGCTTCCCAAAAGAAATTCCAGCCCTCAAAACCCAGGGGACCTTGGAGATGACCTGGCTTATAAACAAAGAGACAGAAGCCAGGGGGACAAAGGACTTACCCAAGGTCACATCCAGGTCCATTGGCACAGTTTGATCTAGCACAGCACCATCTAATTGGAATAGAGTGTAAGGCTGGGGTGGTGCTCAGAGGCAGAGCACTTGCCTAGCATGTGTGAGGCCCTGGATCCCACCCCCCAGCAAAGAGGAAAAACACCATCACCATCGTCACCATCACCATCACCACCATCACCATCACCATCACCATCACCAACATCACCATCTCCATCACCAACATCACTATCTCCATCACCAACGTCACCACCATCACCATCACTATCACCATCTCCACCATCCTTACCACCATCACCAGTATCACCATTACCACCATCACCATCACCATCACCAACATCACTATCTCCATCACCATCACTGTCATCGTCACCACTATCACTATCATCATCACCATCACCTTGGCCTCCCTGTATCACCATCACCACCATCACCATCATCATCATCACTATCACCATCACCATCGCCAGCATCATCACCGGCATCACCATCACCAGCCTCACTTTCTCCATCACCACTCTCACCATCACCATCACCATCCCATCACCACGTTGTCCTCTCCCCCTCACCAGCGTTACATGGTGCCAGGCACTACTCTAGGCATTTCCCATGAACTAACAGTTCCACAGGTGCCCCATGAGTAGGTATATTACTGTCCCTGGTATTGAGTTCCTTTTGATGCTGTAACAACTGACCTCAAACTCAGATACTTAAGGCAATGTAAATTGACCCTCATCATAGTTCTGTGGGCCAGCGTCTGACCCGAGTCTTGCTGGACTAGAAAGCGGGTGTGGCAAGCTGTGCCCAGGAGCCCCCAGGAGAAGCCACACTTCCCTCTTCTGGTGCCGACAGCTGCCCGCGTGCTTTGGCTGGGGCTTCTTGGGAGCCAGTCACGGTGGTTGATTCCTTCCAACATCCTGTCACCCCCCCTCCACTTCATTTCCTTCCTCTCCTGTTAAGCCTCCTGATGACAGCAGGCCCTCTGGGATGACCAAGGCAATCTCCCTGTCTTCAAGTCCGCTGACCAGGAGCCTTATTGCATCTGCAATCTTAATTTCCCTTTACCATGTGATAAAAGAAAAATCCTGAGATGTCCTAGATTCAAATACTAGGACCTGAGGGTGGAGGGGAGGGGACAAGGAAAGGTAATCAGGGAACAGCTGATGGCTGAACCCCACAGGACTGCTCCACGTTCCCATGTGTGTGAAGCTCAAAACCCCAGCAGCTGACCACTTGTGCTTGAAATTTCTGGGCTTGAAACCCCGACCAGTGCAGAGGCCCCAAGTCCCCCTTATGGGTGGTCCCCCTGTCCTCCTACTTCTGAGTCCTGAGGTCCCACCCCTCTTACCTACAGCCGATGTAGGTTCCATATAGACAGTTTGGGTTTTCCTTTCCCATGTTGTGTTATAAAATGTTCCCAGCTCTTCTAGTTCCTGCCTGGCCTTGTGGCCGACAGGCGCAGAGTGTCCCAGAACTGTTGCTTTTCTTGGATAGACTCAGACGTGTCCAGAGAGACATATTCTCCCAAGTACCATCCAGCTGAAGTAAAAGCCCTTGGCATTCAATGTGGTCATGACATTGTGCTTCCTGTGGGCTGTGCACACATGTAATTTGGGCTCTTAGAAGACAGTGTTCTTCCCAGCCTTCCCCCCACCCAGACAAGGGTGGCCCTATGTGTCCTGTGCTTCACGGCGAGGCCAGCCTTAGTCAAGGCAGCCATCTGCCCCAGCCCAGAACCCCTGGCTTCAGATCACCAAGTCCCGCATCAGAGCCCCATCCCTCCCGTCGTACACACGGCCTGCTCGGGAAGAGAAAGCAATCCCCAAGTCCACTCACCCCGCAGCAGAATGTTGCAGAAACCTTAACTGGGGACATGCGGGGGTCCACAGTCCTCTCTGCCTCCACGACTGATCCTCCTCCTCTACTGCTGGGTCAGAAGCTCCTGGGCCTCAGGTTAATGGGCAGGTGAGGGGCCGCTCTCCCTGGTGAGAGGTGCCAGAGAGACACCCGGTGGCCAAGGAAGAAGAGCCCAGGGGGGAAGCGCCTAGAGCAGCCCGGCCCCTTCCCTGGTCCATCCTGGATCTCGCGACTGGTGTCCATGGCTCACTCAAGGGTGTGGGCTACTGGTGGAGGTCACAGGGGCTCAACCTCCACTTGAGTAAGGTCTCTGGGGAACTCACAGACCCAACTTCTACTTACCCTATATATATATATATATATATATATATATATATATATATATATATATATATATATATATATATATATAAAGGATTCCATCTAAGTCCCAGCCAATTCGATGCTGGTGAGCAGGTCCAATGCCCAGGCCAGGAGACGTGGAGGAGGGTTTCCCCTGGCTCCGGCAGGGCCCAAGGCTGTTTGCAACCCAGCCACCTGCAATTACTCGAGTCACAGGAGGCTGCCCATCTGACGGACGTTGGCAGATTGGCCACAAAATTCATCTGGGCACTCGGTTTGAATAGCTTTCTCATCAAATCTGTAATCAGAAATGTGCGCCAAGAGCGAGCTTGGTCCCTTTCGGTTTCATCTCCTTCCACTTATTAAACAAAAATAAATGAAGGCTGGATAAGGAGGCCCGGGAGGGTGCGTCAGGATGAGGCGCTCCTCCCATGGCGCGCCTGGCAAGCGTCCTGAACCTGAAGTCTTGAGCTGTCCTTAGGCGGGTGTGACTACTGGGAAGCTCAGTCAACAGAGTGTGGGGCCCTCCGTCCAAGTGTGGCAGCTCCTATGGAATCCATAATCACTGCAAGATTAAAACAGACTTTTTTCTTTTTTTTTAATTTTTTAAGGTGAAAGGCTTGTAGTTGAAAGAGGAGGAGGGGGAAGGGAGGGAAGCAGGGGAGAAGAGGGAGGAGGGGAGACCGCACCAGAGAAGCAGGGGAGCCTAGAAAGAGGGAGAGAAAGACCTCAGGCCATTGCAGTCACTGGGTCCCATCTGGGTGAGGCCAGGCCGCAGGCCAGCTGGCCTCAGCTGGAGAATCCCGTCCCCACTCCACATCCTCTGTGGCTTCCACCTGGTCTGCATTGAAAGCTCTCTCTGCCAAGTGCTCAGAGGGCAGATTCCTTTATTATTTATTCTAGACCCTCCCCCACGGGAAAATCCCTCCTAAGGCTTCCCGCAGGCCGGGGCCTGTTCTGTTTGCAGAACAATTGAAAATGATGAGCAGCGATTTCTAGGAAGGCCCCTTGGCCACCCCTGGGCAGAGAGAGGACGCCCAAGTCCAGGTCGTCCCCGGGTCCCAAGATCCCGAGTCCCAGTGCCCCCACATTAGTTCCTTGGTTTTCAGTCACGAGGCAGATGGCCCCAGTAGGCCTTGGACTGACTTCCAGCTGCTCTGACCCCAGGTCAGTTCCAAATGCTGGGCCAGAGGTGAAACATTTAGATCTTCTCCGCAGAAACTTAGTTTTGTTTGACTTAAAAGAACAAAGGCCAAGGTGACTGGGGGCTGCTCATTGTGGGTGGTGGGAATGTATTCCAAAGCTCCATTTCTCATTTAAAAAAAATAATAATAGGCCTAAGGAGGCATATATTTTCCGACAACGTGGAATAGAAAAAGACAACGGTACCCAACCTGGACTTTCAGATCCTATCTGCAAGGTAAATAAAGCATAAATTAACCAATTACAGTAAAATACCGGATAAATGCCCTTGACAATTCTGAATTTCCCCTGAAAGTGCTTCCAGCTGTGCCCCCGGGCTTGAGACACGGGCCGGAAAGAGGCTCCCTTTTGCTTACGAAGAATGCTCCAGCCTGGCAGAGCCGGACGGGGAATCCCGCGCCCACCTGCCCAAGCAGGGTCTCCACCTCCAGGCTTCCAGAATCAGATAGAAGCAAACCCTCTTGAAGGTCACGGACAAGGAGAGAGAAGCCTGGCCCTTCCCAGGGGTTCCTGTGATCACCCACCCATCAGAAAGCCACTTGTCACCCACTGCAAGGAGACGCTCAGGATGCAGCTGAGAGAAGGTCCCTAGATGGGGACGTGGAAGACACAGGACCGAGGGTGGGGCGGAACTTCACTTCTCTGTCAAGACAGTTTTACTGGCTCATAGCCACACTCATTTGTGTCCGGGCCGCCTTTGGCCGCCGTCCTGGTACAATGACAGACTTCAGCCGTGACAGAGACCGCATGGCCCCATGCTGAAGGTGTCCACAGCTCTGAAGGTGGACAGCCAGGATGATACTCTCTGTGGTGGCGGCAATGAGAAAAGGTCACCACGGCCACCGTGCAAGGGGGTTGGCAGAGAGATGAAGGTGGCAGCACAGCCCACTGCAGGAGGACCAGAGTGGCTGTGAGGGGAGCGATGGCGCCATCTGGCTCCTCTGTGTTGGCCGTCCTCACTGCGTAACAGATGACCGCAAACTCGCCTGCCCTAAACAGCCTCCACGGTTCCCTGCTCTTGGCCAGGCAGCAGGTGCCTGGGGCAGTGCTGGGGTCTCATAAGGCAGATGGTCGCACAGTGTTAGGATTCAGTTCCTGGGGGCAGTGGGACTGAGGCCCTCGCTTTCCTGGTGGCTGCCAGTGGTCACCGCAGTCCCTTGCCACACAGGCCATCCCTCTTTCAGCCAGCAGCGCAGTGGTGTCCATGGAGCGAGTCCCGGGTGCTCCTTCCATCTCCAACTCCTGCATCTCCCACCTACAGGGGGGAGAACCCCCTACCCTGATGTCGGGGGTGCTCGGACCCATCACACTCAGATGAGGAGGGACTCCGCCCCTACAGGGGGGAAACCCCTCTACCCTGGGTGTTGAGGGATGCTCGGAACCATTGCACCTGGGGAGGGGGGACACTCACCCTACAGGGGGGGACCTGTCTGCCCCAGGTGTCGGGGGTGCTCAGACCCAAAGGGCCAAAGGGCGTTTGGACCCATCGCACCCAGGGGAGAGGGGATGACCCCACACAGGGGGGGACAACCCACTCCCCCAGATGTCGGGGGGCTCCCAATGTACCCAGGGGAGAGGGAACTACTGCCTACAAGAGGGAGACCCCCCCCCCGCTCCTGGTGTTCGGGATGTGCTCGGACCCATCGCACCCAGAGCAGTGAAGACGCCCCCTCTACGTGGGGAGACACCTCTGCCTTGGGTGTCAGGGGGTGCTTGGACCCATTGCATCCAGGGGAGAGAGAACTCCCCCCTACAGGGGGAACCCCCAACCCTGGGTGTTGAGGGGTTCTCGGAACCATCACACACAGGGGAGAGGGGAGACCCCCTACAGAGGGAGACCCCTCTGCCCCGGGTGTTGGGGGTATTCGGACCCAACGCACCAAGGCAACTCCTCTTCAGGGAGTTCCCATCACCACCCAGGGAAGAGGGGACTCCCCATTAGAGGAAGAAGACACCTCTAATCTGGGTGTCCAGGAGTGCTCGGACATATCGCTCCCATAATTGAGGGGACTCCCCCCTGCACGGGGAGAGACCCCACTAAGCAGGGGTCAAGGGGTGCTCAGACATACCGCTCCCAGGGAGGAGGGGAGTCCCCGCTATGGGGGGGACCCTCTAACCTGGGTGTGGAGGGGACCTTGGACCCATCGTACCCAGGGAACAGGGGACAGACAACCCCTCCAGAGGGGTCCACTGTAACCTGGGCGTTGAAGGGACCTCAGAACCATCGCACCCAGGGTAAAGGAGACTCCCCCCTCGAGAGTGGGGGCCCATCTTCACCAGGGTGCCAGGGGGGAGCTCTGTATACCATCGAACCCAAGGTAGAGGGGACTCCCCCTCCACGGGGAGAAACCCCGACCCTGGGGGTCAGGGGAGCTCTGTATTCCATTACACCCAGGGGAGAGGGGGCTCCCCACTCCAGGGGGTGACCCCTCTCAGCTGGGTGTTGCGGGGAGCCCCCCACCACACCCAGGGTCGAGGGGGGGTTCCCGTCCCACCCCTGGGGGGGGAACCCTGCGTTCACCTGGGTATCAGGGGGAACTTGCAACCTCATGCAGGGTCAAGGAAGGGCTCCCCCCACTGAAGGAGGGGAGACCCGCTTCACCTGGTTGTGTGTGTGGGGGAGTTCCCCCATGCACCCAGGGTTGAGAAAGGCTCAGCACCGTGGAGCGGGGGAGACCCTGTTCACACTTGAGTATCTGGGAGAGCTCCCCACCACACCAAGGGTAGAGGGGGGGTCCTCTGCTCAAGCAGGTGGAGATCCTGATCTCACCTGAGTGTCAGGGGGAGCCCCCACCGCCCCCAGGGTCAAGATGGCTCTCAGCGCTCAAGGGGGGAAGACCCCACTTTCACCTGGGTATTGGTGGAGCTCCCCACCACACCCAGGTTGGAGGGGTGCCCCCCTCCAGGGGGAGGGTAGGCCCCGATCTCACATTGGTGTCGAAGGGAGCTCACCACCACACCCAGGGTAGAGGTGACTCCTGCTCTTTTTCTTCTGAGTTAATTAGCCCCATATATAAAAGAGGGGCACCCCCGAGAAGTTGACCCCATCCCTCCAGGAAGCAGGGCACAGGGCCCACCCCCTAGAGGTGGGTCTCCTCTCCGAGAGGTGGACCACATTGCTAGAGAAGGGCTGTCCAAATTCCACCAAGCAGAACACCCCAAGAGATGCACCACATCTCTAGAGAA